CCATGTAACACTCTCAACCTTGACCTTGCACACAAAGAGCCAGAGAAAGAAGTACAGATACAGTGCAGCAGCTGAACACACCTAAACCTGCTTTGAAGATTGGAACTATGATTTAGTTATACTCGGTTAGAGATTTGGGGTTTCGGAGCACCACAAAACTTGTAAGACTACCCATATTCCCAGAGTTATGCTATGGGTGTAACGATAAGCAAATGAGGGCGTTATTTTGTATGGTTATATGTTGTCAATCTAGTTGACAATTACAAGCAGGAAAACATAATAACTAAAGGCCGTCTTTTCTTCCACTAAGAACATGTCTCATATTTTCTTGTTCTGATCACTGTAGCTAGTAGAAATAAAAATACCTATCCAAAATAATTGTATCATTATGAGAATAGTCCTATATTGCCTACACATACTGAAATATCACACCTGCTGCAATGTGTAGGTAGCATTAAAATAGTATAAAATTTGTACTGAGCCTTATTCCATCTGATTTGACTGAATTACTTTCTACCACAGTTAAAAATGGCTTAGCTTTTAGGAAGTTTAGTAAAAAATTAACCCCTCCTCTTAAGCAAACACTCTGCAGGCTATGCTTATGGAATATTATTCTCATGGTAATCAGCTGTGCATGCTGACAAACTTGTTCTTTTCTGGTTGCCTAGCTGTCTACCAACCTCCTCTGGCTCCTCGCCATGACCTCTGCGAAAGAGCTGCTATAGCAGTAGCAAGTATTTTCCCAGAAAGCCTTATTAACTGTGCTGTAGGTTTCTAGTTTTTTAACAGCAACTCGTTATGCTGTAACTATTGTGAGAGTATTTTAAATGAAGACATTTGGTTTCATCTTTTAAATAGATACAAGAAAAATCAAGGCCAAGAAATCTAACTGGACAAAGGAGGTCAGCACTGGATATTATGCTATTGCAGCAAACACTGCACTAAGTCTAGAGTTCAAATAAAATCAGTTCTGGCTCTTTTAAAACCCACAGAACTATCCTATCAGCTCAAAAATGGTAGGTCTGAACCTGATATATTTAACACATGTAACGGTAGGCTTAGAAGAACCATGACATACACACAAAAAGTTACACATCTTCCAAAATACATTTGTCACAAGGAAGTACAAAAAAAATTGATTAAAGGAACTTCTCTACTTTCTCTACCTCACGTTGTAACACACAGATTCAGTATTTATTCAAGGATGGTTAGTTTTAGGAGGCGGGCTTCTGTGGATGTTCCCCAAGATTAACGTCACCTCCCTCTGTATCAGCCACTGGGTTCTCATGCGTTTATAAAGCTCCGAGGCACCAAATCTGTACAGGGCTTCAGGCACTGCTGTACTACACATACATCAGTATTTTAGTTAGAAAAAGAAAAAAATTAGCCAAATTAGTTCTCATAGGACAATTTCTCCTTCAGGTTGAGTTGGTGAGCACGAGCAATGTACGTAAGGTACTGATATAATTTGTATGTGCCATATTAACATGCCATGGGAAGAGTCCTTAATTGAAAGTAATAATAGGGTAGCCAGGATAGTACCAATCAAAATAACTTGGCTGCCTGTGCTAAATTCCAGGTATTCCTAAGGTCTTATGGAAATTTGATTATCTTTACTTAGGAGGATGCAATCAAAACCAAAGATTTACTTTTAGACTTACTTATCTCTGAGGGGAAACAACTGGACAGAGTGCAAATTTGCTTGTTGATGCATCATACATATAAGCCACAGTCAATTGACTACACATATGGTTTGGAAAAAAAGATGGTTTTCATCCATCTTCCCAAGGCAGTTTGCAGCATGTCCAATTTAATGTTGTTTAGATTTGTTAAAACTCCTACAGCATACATTTGTTAAGCTTCTAGATTTATTAAGCATACTCTATTTTTCTTATAAAAAATTATAGTTCACTGCACCAGTGGCTTTAGTCGGCCTGAGGCTGATATAAGTGAACTCCCTGAACATAAAAATCAGGCTGATCAAGATATGCACCTTCTCAATCTTGTTTTATGAGGCGGAGCTATACGCCTTCGAGAACACTGATGCATGAAGACTGCTCTTTTTCTTATTGTCCCCTGCTAAACACTGAAACCAACTAGCATCTCCACAGAGAAGCAAGGAATTAAAGAAGTACTAACACCAGAGACAGTTTGATGCAATGGAGAAACCCCAGGTCTGGACCCCTGTGAGATAAAGGCTGACCTTTGATGGGATATTTCGCCTCCTGGAGGGCAGCAGCAGCAGAACAGGACTGGCAGGACATAGCCAGCCCTGAAACACCACAGTGCTGAAGTAAGGATCCAGCAGTGTGAGCCGCAGCACAACCCCAGAAAGAACCAAGGTGTGGTTCAAGCCTGTTCCTTAGGGTTGTTACACACCGGACACAGAATTAAGAGAAAAAAAAAAAAAAAAAAAAAAGACAGAAAAACTACATGAAAGTTATTAAGTCATCCATCCGGATCCAAACTGCAATTGTTGCTGTGGTGCATTACATATTTGCCAGTTGTACGCTGTTGACCTATTGGGAGTAAATGACTGATATCAAGCCAGCTCTTAGAGGGCAAGTATGTAGATCATACTCAGTGCTTACAGTAAAAAGGGGGGATTTGAATGCAGTTGTCTGTGCTCCCCTCCACTCAGTGAGGACGAGGCTTCCTGGTCAGAGCCACGCTGATCAGGGTGGGAGGTCAGTCACGCTGCAAACAAGAACTGACATTTCAAAGAGCGAGCAAGATTTCTGTTGTTAAGGAAATGTGCTCTAACAACGGACTTGCAGATTGCAGTGAGGAAAGAACATGTTTTGTTTTGTTTTGTTTTTTTTAACTGGTGAGGCCCTTGAGCTTTATGGTGGCTGATTAATTGATGGAGATTTCATTACACTGAATTTAAAAACTTGTCAGGAAACTTAGAAGAAGGAATAAACATTCCTTTTAAAATCTGTGGATAAATCAAAATGAACTTATTCACACTACTCATGGTTATTGCTGGGTGTAAAACTCAGAAGTCACATCTCTGCTGAGGTATAAACCAAACAAAGAGAATAAAAAGAGTGTTTCAACAAACCCTGTGCTATGAAATTTTGAAGATGAGCTTTGATGCAAGGGTAGACACTAGCTGGGCTGGGTAAGGAAAATGTTTTCCTCTAATTTACAGAGCAGCTATGCAACTGTTCCACAGTTACTGCAGGCAATAATCAATAGGTATCAAGAGAAGAGAGAAGATGCCTCAAATTCCAGTATGTTGCTTGGTCCATCTTCTCCACAGTCCTGAAAAGGAGAGTGATACAGTCCAGTGCTTGAGGCCACAAAGGAATTGTAGAAGAGCTCTTGATAAGAGCTACATCTCCCTGCAACTGACTGCAAAGTTAAAACAGAATTGCTCATATCTTACCCTAGCATACTGAAAGTACAATTCTACATCCAAACCAAAACCAATGTTATCCTTGGCTGAACAGAATAGAAGGGCACAAACTCCTTACAGCAAATAGTCTGAGGTTGAAAATGAGGGCTAGAAAGATATGCAAACAGAAAGACAGGCGTAACAGCCACTACAGGGAGAGAAAAAGTTCTAGCTGGCACCCAAGGCGGCATTCGTGCAAGAAATGAAAGACCTTATTGTCCCATGGCATTGGTTCCCGGCCTTCACCATGCTTACTGTTGCAAGTGAGGATGCTCTGCTCCATGCCTGGCTCACAAAAGGATATGATTCTTCCTACTGACACCACTCTTCCCATTCATATGGAATCAGCAGAGGTGTTCCTAACTAATTAAAATAAAACTTAGTTGCCAACTTCTGTTGCTAATTCAAGTCCTTCTGTAATCAAAATCTGCAGGATGTAAATTCAATATAGAATTTCAATAAGAAAAAAAAAACAAAAAACACCAGAGGCTCCAGATCCTCTTTCTTCCACAGTATTACCCACCTGAAACAGACAATGTAAAAATCTCTGTGAGAAAGGAAAGGCAGTGACTGAATCTGAAATGAGCTGTAACTTAACAGATGACTCATTTACTTCCAGAGCAGGTTGGGAATCCTGAATGCTTAAAGGTTCAGTGCAGAGAGCAGAAGTGAATGAACCTCCTACCAGTCAAATAGCTAATATGTTATTTGCCATCAATTCAGTAACAATGCAAACCCAATCCTCTTCAATAAGGTCTCCCTGAAGAGAAAGGTCTCTCAGTTGAGAAGAACAATGGGATTTACTTAAAAAAAGAGAACTTGTGTCTCCACAGCTCAAAACCTGCTTCCAGCCACCAAGACAGTTCCTTTTTTTTTGATTACCACAGGAGGTTTTGCAGTAAGGGGACTGTTGTTTTCTACAGGCACAACCAAAAAGGGTGTTGAGGGAAACAAGCCTTCCTCCCTTTCACCCCTCCCTGGGCTGCCTGGCTGACACTGCCCTCCCATGTGGTGACAGCAGTCAGACACTCTCACTCCTTATCTCCCCCAACAATGCTTATGTGGTTCCTGCAGCAAGGTTTGCACTTGTCCCAGGCTGCTCCACTTGTCACCAACAATAGCATGAGATGGAAGAGAGATGGTAGAAAATTTTGCTGTATGGAGAGCAGCATTGTCCTTTAAGGCTACTTGTTCTTTGGTGCAATCAACCATTTCTTCATCTTACAGAAAATAAGAAAACTAAACTGTGACCTGAATTCAGCCCTGGGACAAAATAAAAATCTGGGAAATACAGTGACACTACTAAAAAAAAAAAATAAAAAAATCCTTGGAGAACTTCTTGCATTTAGATACTTCAGACTTTGATAAAACCTTTAAAATATGGTTCACAATGCTAGAAAAATTACTTTCAACAGAAAGTTTTCCTCACCTTCTTACTTGATGTTCAATTGCAGAATGTTATGCCTGAAATTGTACATTTAATTGAACATTTAAACGAACATTTAAACTCTGACACAGTATGAAAATTTGAAAAGTACTGTAAAGGTCCACATTTAAAGATCAAATTCAGAGATACATATTTTCTATCAAAGATTAAGTCTGACAAGGATAATAAAACCTGTTTATTAAATAAGCATTTGTAATATAAAGCTTTAGTATCGTTACACTTGCTTATATAGATACACTTGTTACGTTACTTCCAATGTATTTCAGTACCTTGGTGCTACGAGCTGGTATCCTGAAATGGAAAAATACAGAAGAGCAGCTTCCCATAAAGCTTCCAGACATCAGTGGTGGGTAACACAGCTTGAACCCTAAGGACTACAGTGAGAAATTCTGAGAAAAACCTCAGATAAACAATGACAGCAATTTCCCTAAGAGAGATAAGAAAGAACTGCCATTTCTTCAAGATATACACAGGTAATTCTAGCTGGTGGCCTTCCTTGAGAGAGCTTTGCTTGAAATTGGATGTTTTATGCAGGAATAGCAGCTCTTTGCTGATATTACTGTAAATATAAATATCAAAGGCAAAAATCTATTTTTCAGTGGATCCCTTGGACTTATCACCAGATGCTGATATTTCCAGCGATACTGATATTTCCATTTACCTTCAGCATATGCTGCTTTGCCATGGTACAAAAACAGAAAGAGCTTTTGCACACAGAGTCTGAAAACAGTCCTTTTTAATTCCCTTTCCTGCCTATCCTATTCAAAAAATGCAAATAAAACCCTAACAGGAGAGCCTGAAGGTTAAAGGGCCCTTACAAAGAACTAACAGCCAGCTGGTCTGAGAAAAACAGTAGGAAGTAAAATATATCACCCATTATACCCAAAGAGAACTCTCTTTGAATGGCAAGATCTGCACAAGAAGGAATAAACAGTAAAAGCTAACAGAAATGAGAAAAAAGTAAATCAAGGAACACAAGTGGTCAGAGAGGTGAGGACAGTACCAGCATGTACTCATTGAAGGTGTACTATACTTCTAGCTATTTACACTATGATCACCAACAGAGGTATGTAAATATCCTTGAAACAGCTTTGGCTATGAAACAATTGCTTATGAAATTAAAAAAAAAAACAAAAAAAAAACCTGAAAGCCCCACAAAATGCAAGTACCTTGCATAGTGCTTACATGTTTTATCTTTTTACATACATTTTCAATAAGAAAAATGCTGCCAATATTTTTTAGCTAAAATATTTCCTCTTCCACTAAAATATGCACATACTTGCACAAGAAAGGAATGAAAACTGGAAAATCCAGGATCGATGAAATGTATTTTGGATGTATTGGTTCCTACTGTTCTTCCTTTACAGCAAAAGCCCAAGTCACTTCTATGAGATCTGCAGGTTGACGAGTCCTGTATCTGCATGTATTTTAAATTCTTATGTTAGAAGCTCAGGATTTTCCATCATATTCTCCCTTCTTTACACTTCTGGACACAGTTACAGTCTGTTAAGCACAGGGAAAAGAGCCTATAAACAGAGCAGAAGGGGTTGCCATCTGTTCCTGCCTGATCTGGGAGATATGAAGTCAGTACAGCTTTGTACAACTTGTGTTCACAGGCTTTCTTCTTGTGCTTCTCTAGTTCCTTTCTTCCTGCGCTTCTTCAGCTCTACCCTACAATGCAAAGTAAATCACCATAGGGGGACTGCTATAGCACCTTTCAGATGGACAATGAATTTGTTGGCAGATGTGAAGCCAACAAATTCTTCACCTAGAAGCATTGAGAAAACTAGCAAGGTGCTCACTTTGACATCTGTTTTTTCACCTCTGCATGTGAAAGCATAAGCACCTTTTGTGCTGCTGAATGCCAGGCTACGCGTAAGGCAGCTGTGAGCTAGATCTTCAGGCTTCGAAAAGTCTTCAACCTCCACCCCAGCTGTCTGCTGTTACACGGAGAGAAGCAGGGGGAAACTGAGCTAACAAAGGCTGCCGATTGTGTATGTTTCTCCTCAGCAACTGATGCCCAGAGGGCCTGAAGTACTGCTACTGTTTGCAGGCATTTCACCTAGAACAGAGGCAGCCGTGGCGGGCAGCGGGAGGACTGATACTCCGGCCCTGCCCTCCTTGTGTGTGTGGCCAGACAGGCTGCCCCCTGACCCTCAGTGCCAGGACTGTACCAGCTGCCTTCCAGATGCAATCGGTCATCTGTCCGTCAAACCGTGAAGGAACATTACCCTCTCCGTCACAGAAAGTGAGAGGATTCCCGAGTTAAAAATTAAATCGGGTTTCACTACAAATATAAGGGCTTCCAACACATCCTCACTCCATCGCCGGTACCCTGCACGAGGCCTGGCCATCCCGAACACTCGCTAGCACTGGGGTTCAGCCCGGGCAATGGTGCCGTTTACTGGATTTCGGGCTCTCTTCCCGCTCCCGGTGAGTCCCGTCATGGACACGGCCTCCTCCCGGCCCCGTTCCCCCTCACGCCTTGCCCCGGTGGCTCTCACGGCCTCCAGACCGCAGCCTTCCGGGCCCCGGCCAAGGCAGGACACGTCAGGCAGCAGCGGGGACAGCAACGACCCCTCATTCTGTTTCCTCTCCTTTCTTCCTCGTTCTCCCCCCTCCACACCGCTGCTCGCCTCCGCCAACAGCCGCCAGCCTGGCCTGGCCGAGCCGGTACTGAGGGGAGGGCGCGCGCGGGCGGGGCTGGAACGGAAGGCGGCACCCCCGCCGCACGGCGCATGGTCGCGGCAGCCGCGCGCTCGTCGGCCTCCCCTCTGGCAGCCGCGAGCTGTGGTCTCGCCCGCCCCCGCTGCCATGTTGGATCGTGCGGCGGCCGGAGCCGGGCCGGAGTTGGAAGTTTAGCGCCGCTCGGAGGGGCGGGTGCGATCGGTCGTCGGCGCGGAGCGGCACCGGCGCGGCTGACCCCCTCCGCAGAACCCCCCCGCCGGCAGTCCGGCCGAGGCCCCGCAGTCCCTCTCCATCTCCCTTCTTCCCCGGCCCCGAGAGGGAGGCTCCGCGATGCGGCTGCTGTGAGGCCGCGGCGGCAGAGGAGGAGGAGGAGGGGGCCGCGGGCGCCAACGGTCTCAGGGCGGCGAGGGCAGCGCCGGGCCGGCCCCGGCCATGAGCGGCAACCCGCAGCAGCAGCCCCCGCAGCCGCGGCGGGTCACTAATGTGGGCTCCCTGCTGCTCACCCCGCAGGAGAACGAGAGCCTGTTCGGCTTCCTCGGCAAGAAATGCGTGGTAAGTCCCGGCCCGGGAAGAGCACAGCGGAGGGGGCGGTCCGGGGGGGAGCACAGCGGCAGGGGCAGCCCGTAGTGCTCCCGGCCCGAAGACCCCGAGCGCGGGGGCCCGGCCCAGGCGGGGGGGCGTGTGAGGACGGGAAGTTGAAGGCTGCGGAAGTTTGAGCCTACCCGGCCGCTCCGCTGTCTCCGTCCCGCCGCCCGGGAGCGGGGCGGCCACCGCAGGCCTTGCTGTCCACCCGCCTCGTCCACAGCTCGCTGGGCGATGGGAGTGAAGCGGGATGCTGGGGGCAATGAATGGCGGGGGCCGCGGTCAGCAGCGCGGGTGGCGGGGCCTTTCTGCCGGCGGCGGGCCCGGCCTCGCCCCCTTCCCTGTGCTGGTCCCGGTTGGAGCCGTGTGCACCGGGGCGGTCCCAGGACCGCCGGTGTGGGCTCTGTCTTTCACGCTGCCCCGTCAGTAGGCAGTGAGCTTCCGGGGGCTCCTGTGGGGCTCGCCTCTGCCCTGCGGCTGATACGGACTCTGCAGGGGTAACAGGCCATCGAGAAGCAGCCGCGAGGCTCGGTGGTAAAAGTTCGGTTGCTTGACGAGCCCCAGGTGCACCTGCGGTACAGCAAAGCAGTGCTGACGAAGTTGTAGGGAGGCTCCTCTCAGTGCGAGGCCTGCCTTGAATTTAGCTTGTACTTTTTCTGGCCTAAACGAGAAGTTCCCGTACTCAAATGCAACTCAGGCACTGCACCTTTGCCTGTTTATATGTGTGTATGTAGCAGGCGATTAAAAGAAAAAGCCTTGTAGCAAATGTGTTACTCAGCACGTTCTTCGTTTGCAGAATACCTTCTTGCATGTTGCTATAGAACTTCATTAAAACTGAACTTCTCTGTATTAAAGAACTGCTAGAAGGCTTCAGAAGTGAATCACTTTCTTTAGAAAAGCAGCTTTTAGAAAAATTGCAGTTTTGAAAAAACTATAAAGAAAATGCTTCTTAAGAAAAATTAACTGTTTGGAAGCCATTGAAAATAATGTTACCTGGATGTCTTCTGCTACTTTGTGTCCGGCACCTAGCATGCTGTGTTAGGCGCTGTGCATCTTACTGTAATGCTATGAACAGTATTGCATGAACTTAAATTGTGATTTAAAGCAGGATATCCATGCATAGTGGTTCCACACAACTCTTTGGACTTTGAAATGGTGGTGTTGGTCAAACTGTCACAAGGAAAACATAAGATGTAGTAACTGAACAGGAAGTAGGCACTATTTACACTGGGATGGGTTAACTAAGATGCTGTTACAGTAACTTAAATGGGTCAGAAGGTGTGACTGAAAAACCTGTGTTTTGAAAAGTAATAATTTGTAAAAAAAACAAACCACCTTCAAGTAATTGATCTACTTTCAAGCACACATTTCATATGTTTAGCTCATTTTCCACCCCCCCCCCCAAGCTTTTCTCTAAATTTAAAGAATATTCCATGAATTTGTATAAGTTCATTTCCAGTTTGTTTTTCTACAGCTCAGATTTTCTTGTCAAGTGACCACGCTTGTCGGGTTTGTTAGGCTCGTCTGTAACACTCACCTACTCAAGTTCTCAACTTTTCTGCATAAATAGCATGTTGAAAGCAGACTTTGGAGGTAAATATCTTCACAGTATCTGGGTGTCATGCAATCTGTGACAGCTTCATAGACATGACTTGCTTTGTATTTTACGTGAAACTACACATTCCGGTAGGTTACACTGAAAGTTGTGTGATACACCAATTGAGGTTCTTCTAATTGTGGCACATTCTCTTCTCCTTTCCTCCCAGCTCTGTATGCTCTCTAGGTTAAGCGTAGGCTCATCTTACTGTATTGAGGGTCTCTACTAAATCTTGAGGACTTCAGTTTGAAGCTCTAGAGGTATTTAACCAGTCTTTTTTGCCTTATTGTGACATGAGCCAGAAATGGTGACAGTTCAGAAACTAATCCTGAACAGAGTGAATATCTCTGTCCCTTAGAGGGCAACCTCTGTTTGAGAAGTGGAATGAGCATCTGGAGATGGGAACAGCTTTGGCTGTTGAATGTGAGTTTACAGTATCTGCCTGTCAGAGCCTAGTAGTATTTTACCACCTACCCTGACTCAGCGTTGGCATGCTATGCTGATAAATTCGTTTTTGCAGTAATGTGTATGATATTTGATCTCTTAATACCTATGTTTGAATTATTCATTAGTGAAAATTCAGACTGTAAATGCTACTTTTTAAGAAAAGAGAATCTTGCGAGTTTCATAGGATGCGCGAGCTTGGTTTCCCATCAGTTGAATTGTCTGTGCTACCTGACTGTTATGGGTGGTTTTTCTGCCCAGATAAGGCATGGATATGCTGCTGGATGTGATGTGCATCTGCCATGTCAACATAATTTTAGGTTATGTTTGATTTGGCTTGTTGTTTAGATCACTAGTGAAATGAATGCCAGAAGAACAGTTGAGACGTTAAACTATGGTCCTACATACTCCTTTTGTAGTAATAATTTATAGCTCTTACGGAAGGCGTAGTGCTGGTATCAGTCCTAACAGGTTTGGTTGAGAAAGAACGTGGCATTCTGGACTGATTTATTTCAGCAATCTGTGAGACTGTTTTTGACTGATAACAAGGCAGCTACTTTAAAATAACGTTAAGAATTCAACTACTCAGTTTTTGTTCTATGCAAAAGCAAAGGAATTTATCAAGTAGCTTAATTTTGATTGAGTACTCACAACCTATGAACTCCAATACTGACATAATTTCAATGGCATCTTAAGTAATGATGACTGGTAAACACAAAAATTACCTGGGAGGGGAGAAATGGTGAAGAGCCATCACTCTGTGTGTGTTGCTGAGACTGGTACCATTTTCTGGACCACTACTGATACTTTGAGAATCTCAATGACTAGTAGACAAGTGTAGATACAGAATATACAGAAGGTTACTAGCTCTTTTTTTCACTACCCCCTTTTTCCCCCCCCCCACTTGCTGAGCCGTGAAATGTGTATCTGAATCTATAAGCCATTAAAATACCTTTGTCCGTGACGGATCAGGTTTTCAAAACCAAGCCATTGGCTAATAGTCCAAGCTGCAGCTACAGTTAATTTGGTTGAAATGTGAATCCAGATGTGGGACTGCTTGCAGTAGGTGTCCAGTGTAAGGTAGTCCATTAGGACTTTCATTGTTACTTAGGCATGAAACTTAATTTTCATTCAGATCTATAACATTTGTTATCTAGGTCAGGTGTAAAGTTCACGACCTGTAGAAATATTTCCATAACTATTTTTTATCATAATGTGGAAATAAAAGTCTGTGTAAACTTATGCTAAGGTAAACTATGAGGTTACTTTTGTGCATATTAATATTTTTGTGGTCATGCCAAATTTGGAAGGTTTTGCTTAAGTCTGCTGGGTTATAAATCAGTCACTTTAATTTTGTCTGAAAGAATGAATTTTGTAAGGAAAAGCTAATACTAGGTTCCTCTTTAATTTTTTTTTACTAAAGAAGGTACTTTTATAATTTGCATGATTAATATAGGTCAGTGATGTCATTGATGAAAAACTAGTTTATTCTGTAGAAATAATTTTATATGTGTGTGAGGCCTGAGGAAAGAAAACATGAGAAGTGTGTACTTGATAGCGTTAGAAATAGGTAATGGAGTATGGCTATTTTATACTGCTGGGAAGTGGAACGCAACACTTGGATAAGGTGTAATGAATAAGGCTAGGAATAGGTTGTTATTTGTAAGATCTTGCCATGGTTTATATGGTAAGCAGGAACTGGTAAAATGCAAAAACACGTAGAATGCAAAAGCAGAAGTAAGGCAGCAGTAAACTAAGAAAACTGTTTTGGCTGCTTTTAGAGTGCATGTGACCAGAA